CCCCCCCCCCCCCCCCCCCCCCCCACCCCCCAGCTTTTTAATTAAACCTGTCTTTCCAATATCACATTCTGGCAGTCACAGATCTAAATAAATGACATAAATATGTGACCATCACAAATAAATATAACATAAGGGTATGGGCACTGAAAGAAGTGCCTGTTGTTTTCCAAAAATATTTGACTTTTCTCTCCAGATTTAGAAATATAGCACATGAGCACATGTAGTGTTATTACTGTCTGTTTATATTTGTAGCCTTATTTATTTAACCCTTAAAGTTGCTCTCATAAGAAACTTTTATCCATCATTCAAATGATAAAATTAGAATAATTTTCTGCAGGTTTTTGTAATCACACCAGACTGTCACCCCAAAGAGGTCTTACTGAGTGCCAGAATATTTTAGTTCATTCTACAATTTCTTATTGGCTTATAAACACTATTCTACTAAGTATCAGATTGACAAATTTTAAGCAATAGGTAAAAAACTCTTAATGAGGTGATTTAAATTTGTATGTCTAAGCAATACAGCATATCTATATCAATTATAATGCATCTGATACAAGTGTACTTACTAACAGCAACAATAAAATCTTTGTGCAGTTTGTAAGTCATCAGTGGTTCTGCAAGGCACCTACAACACAGAATAAAAGCACATTTTATGAGTCTGGCTCCTTAGATCAATCTAGCTACGCTAGATACCATCCTGACACCCTGAAGCACATTATAGAATGACAGTATCTTTCCTTCTCCCCCTAAACTTTGAGTGCTTCTTTAAGAATTGGATGATTATTACTTGTCAACTAAAAATAAAACTTAAAAAATAAATAAGTAAAATAATTGGGTGATTAGGCAGTATGATAAAGTCCTAATGGTGGTGGTGGTGGTGGTGGGGTTCCACATAGTCCTAAAATGCAGACCTCCAAGACTCCAGTGCCTCTTAGACCTTCTTGGCACAATTGCCCTTAAAAGGGGCTGCTGGGAGATGATTTTTTTCACTTTGTAGAGCTATCTTTCCACAGGAACAAAACCTCTCTCAGATAGGGGAACATCAAGTGAGGAAAACAAAAACAATAAAACAACTTTCCATTTCAATTTGTTATTTTTACAAAATACGTGAAAATCTCACATGCGAATTTAATATGAAACAAAAACATACTTAGTCAGTATTCATAAAATGCTGCATTTCACCTTAGGTGAAGGAACTGAGCTGAGGAGTGAAGACTGTATACATAGGCTCCATGCAAAAAGTGAGTAAAAGATCACATCCAGGGTCCCAGGAGTTCAACCCTCCTCACCTGAGGTAGTTTTTCAGCCCACTCGTTATTGTCTTATTGTCCCACAGTTCAATATCAATGTCAATATCAGGAGGGGATTTTGGAGCTAGAAAAAATAAAAACAAGATGTTTAAACAGTGTGCAGTTCAAAATATTATATACCAAAAATCAATACAAACAAGTAGGTCACAAGAGATAGGCATTCATTTCTTAAGGTGCCAACAGAGTTAACATTAGGATTGCTCTTTGGGTGGGTAGGTAAAAAGTTCACTCTGACACTAAACCTCAATGATATCTTGTAGAATAATAGTCCCCCAATCAAATTATTGCTAACATGATAGAGTGTTTAGCATGTCCAGCACACTTCTGAGTGCTTTATATAGATTAGATATTCAATCCTCACAACTTGGAAGAAGCAAGAACTATTATTATCCCCATTTTATAAATGAGAAAACTGAGACACGAGAGGTTTAACAAATTACTCACGGTCACAAAGTTTTTAAGTGACCAAGCTAGGTGGAATTTCAAGCCAGCCAATCTAATTTCAGAATCCATGCATCTTATCGTATCTCTAGCTATTCAAAGGACACTCAAGAAAAAGTCCAGCATTATAAAAATGCCCCCTCAAATTCTGACTGTTCATCTATTATAATTGAACATTAAAAATTGAATTGAGCACTAGGGCTGGCCCTGTGGCTCATTCAGGAGAGTGCAGCGCTAGTAACACCGAGACCGCGGGTTCGGATCCTACATAGGATTGGCCCGTGTGCTCACTTGCTGAGTGCCCTGAGGACCATCCATGCTGAGGGTTGTGATCCCCTTACCGGTCAGAAAAAAACAAACAAAAACAGAAACTGAGCACTCGGGGTGGCCCCCTGGCTCATTCGGGAGAATGCTGCGCTAGTAACGCCGAGGCCCAGGGTTCAGATCTTATATAGGGATGGCCCCTGTGCTCACTGGCTGAGTGCCCTGAGGACCATACCGTGCTGAGGGTTGCAATCCCTGTACTGCTCAGAAAAATCAAACAAAAACAGAAGCTGAGCACTGGGGCTGGCCCCATGGCTCATTCGGGAGAGTGCGGCGCTAATAAATCCGAGGCTGCGGGTTCAGATCCTATATGGGGATTGCCCCTGTGCTCACTGGCTGAGTGCCCTGAGGACCATACCGTGCTGAGGGTTGCAATCCCTGTACCGGTCAGAAAAAAACCTAGAAAAACAGAAACTGAGCACTCGGGCTGGCCCCGTGGCTCATTCCGGAGAGTGCTGCGCTAGTAACGCCTAGGCTGCGGGTTCGGATCCTACATAGGAATGACCCCTGTGCTCACTGGCTGAGTGCCCTGAG